ACTGTCAGTCAGATATGTTTACGTAAGGCCGTCCTACGTTTTCGTCCCCATTTTCACTTACCGTTGGTGAGTCTGACAATGTGGAAAAATTGCAAATCTTCTTTTGAAAAGTAAGCTTGTATGAGCGATGCAAACAGCAACTTTTAAACAGAGTGTGCATGAGGAAAAAATTGGCTTGTGCATGTTCTCGCACACGTTTAATAGGCTTTCCTCTTGGAAGTGGGTACACGGTTGTGCATGTGCATTTTTCTTTTTAAAAGTGGAGAGGGCGGGTCTTTTAAAAAAATTTTAGAAAATCCTCCGCTATACCTTTAAGCGTCTTTCCCACTGAAATTAGCAGGTTAACGTGTGTTTTTCAAACATGGTCGACCCGCTAACAATGGTCTTTTAGACCCCTTCCCATTGGCTAAAAAAGCTGATCAACCCCTCGCTAGCAGCTGCGTGGCCTCTGACCCCCCACTACTGTGAGTCTGGTGACATCATCACGCTGGGTTAGCATTCATGATGTCACCAGTGTGACAGAAATCAGGAAAGTAAACAATGGAGAGCAACATGTAAGGAAGCCAGGGTGTAGTCTGTGTGCTTTATTGTTTTGCTCTATTTTCTGTCTGAATCCCTCTCACCAGAGCTGCTCCATGTTTATTGAATGCAAACAAAGCTGTTTCTGCTTGTTAGATCAGAAGCGACTGTTGCGGTGTGTTGACGTCCCTACGTTGCTTTCAATGGTATCACATAATTTAGTAAGTCGACCCGGCTCTGGTGTTCCCACAGCATGCAGATCAGAGCAGAGGCGATCTTAACATCATTTATAAGCGACAATGGCTTCTAAAATTTTTGAATGTAGGCTTGCACCTGAGTTTCACAAGTTAAATGTTTATATTTTTTATATCCTTCACTCATGGATTGGCTTGATTCGATCCTTAGATTATCGTCTGCATATTGATGAAGGCACACAGACTTTTTTTACCCTCTTTGGAGAGCCGCTCAGAGCATACAAACATGCATTCGTTTTAGGACGTGCAAACCATCGTGCAAACCCTGCCTTTGTGTCTGTTATTATGATTTACTCTTTAAGTAGTCTTTTTTATTGGCTAACACTAAGGTACATTTAATACCTTTTGCATTAAATAAATGATTATAAATTCCACATAAACAATCAAATGGAGCACAGTAGCCCTAATATTCCTTGTCATATCAGCCTCAGGAAATGGCTAGGTTATAAAGGACAGATGCATGGGACTCTGCATTCTAATGGCTCCTAACCCTAATCCATCTCCTACTGAGGAAGTTGTGGATAACTTGGTTGACAGAGAGCAGTGCGAGTTTGGGTTCCATCTTCTTAGCAACAGCAGCAGATGAGGAGCAGAGGAGGTCCTGCTTAGATCCAATCTCAAAAATTCACCCGGCTTTAGCATTCTATGTGTTTTTTATTTTGTTCATTTTTGTTAGATTTAGTTTAGCTTGTTTTGATATAACATTTATGAAAATAAGGAACGAAATTTAAAAGAGCCATATTTCTAGAGTTCATACAGTTTTTGACCACTGTCGTCAGTTTATTTTGTGTTGATCACAGCGCTGCAGCAAAACTGTAAAATCCTTTGGTTTGTGTGCAACAGTCAATTTGCCTCTTGTTGAACACTAAATACTCTACAATCACATTGCTGATGAAGGTTCTCAGTCATCCAGGTCATAGTCATTCTGTAAAAATTCAAAAAATATCCACTGGACTTGGTTTTCAAGATTTGAAGACGTTTCGGTTTTCAAGATCCTGGAGAGGTGGCGAAACGCCTTACAATCACATTATTCATTATTGGATCCAGGAAGACGAAGCATCAAATTAGAGCCAAGCAATGGCTTAGGTTCATTTTGTTTTCTTTAATTAAGAACAAGTCATTACAATATTTAATTGCCAATTAAATGGGGATTCTGTATTTTACACAGGTGGTGACCCTAAACCTAACAATGACCCACTAGGGGCTTGTGACCTCAGCTCAAATTCACCCAGTTTTTAAATCTTTCCAAAAGATGGATGAAACAGTAAAAACTGTATGCAGCATAAAAACGCAGAGTGTACCTGATCGCCTTCTCTAGGGAAAATGATCTTGGTTCCTTCCCTCCATCCAGGCTTTACGTCTATAGTCAGAATCTTGTCCTTGATGCTGGAGGTTTGTCCATCTTCGTTCATAACCTGTAACACACAACACAGATAGAGAAGCCGTTCCTAACAGCAAACCATTAGACACAGGATCATTCACTCATTTGTTCTGTTTTTTCATTATTGTTATTATTTATTACTTTTAATTAGATTTGAAAGGAGCATTGCACATTTTTAAAGAGTAAATATTTTGTCTTTCCCACATATACCCTAACAATAGGGTGGTTCTTACATTACTTGCTTAGACCCAGTTAGAGTTAATAAATAATAAGTACATAGCCAATGTCAAGAATAGAGGTAGCTCACGCTTGGTTTACTTAAGATAAAAACACAGATCTTTATATATTCTATTTACCACATGTTAATACTTAATAAATGTTTCTATTTTTTTATTTTTTACACAGACTGTATTGAATCTTGTTATTGAAATCAATGTTCAGTTGTTGCCCAGTTCATTACAACGTTTGTGTACAAAAATTAAGATTCCTTATCAATATACTCCTTTTCCATTCTGGTGAGGCTGAAAGCATCAGAATGTGCAAGATCAAAAATATCCTCAATGTTTCCTCAATGTATGAACAAAAAATCTTTTTCTTGTTGTGTCTTGGATCTGTATGTGGTGTTTATCTTTAATAACTGCTGCCAGTCATTGCAGCCATTAAACAGCCAAACACTGCCTGATGCTGATGTTTTAACCATCTTCTGCAGTCCATAAGTAGCAATGCCACATTGTTTTCAATTGAATAAATAACAATTTCAAATCTTCTAACATATAAATAATGCAAAGCCCAGGATTCCAAAATATCTTTAAATTTATTTTTTAAATTTATTTTCTAATTTCAAGTGCATTATATGTAATAATCTTATTTTAAGGTTGAAAACTCCCATTCCACTGAAAGATCATCTTATTTCCTGCTAAGATTATTGACAAATAAAGTTATTTTTATAAAATGTTTTCAGGTCAGTTTTTTTCAGTCCAAGATAAGCATAGAAATTGAAAATGCAGCTTCACCTCCACGCCCCACTTTAACTGAATATAACTTTATTTAACTTATTTTTATGAATTGTGATTCTTTGGCCTTATGTTTGCTTTTAAATTAGTTTTAAAATGACTACATCTATGAGATGCTTTAAATAACATTTTATTATATTATAAATTAGCTCATCTAGTTCATAAGATGTTGTTTAGAATACTAAAGACTGAGGAAATTATTTCCAACTGTTTACCTCTAGGCTGAACCTGCAGGTGCTGTTGTGGACACACCTGATATTAGTCCTGACAAAATTAAAAACTGTGCAGCCTCTTAGTGAAACCTATTGGACCACTAATTCTAATTATAACTTCATCTAACAAAGACAAAACAACAGATCCCTGAAGAAAACCACTGAGTTTCAAAGGGTCATCGACCGGCTGCAGAGAGAACGGGCTGTCTGTAGGTGAAAGGGCAATGAAGTGAGGCTGTACCTGCAGTTTCTCAGAAGAGTCACAGGTGTAGAAGAATAATAAAGGACCATCTCCAAAAAACAACAACTGTATATTTAAATTAATACAGAGGCTGATGTTCGAATAAGGCAAAGATATAAAATATTTAAAGGTTTTTGGAGAAAACAGAGGAGGTGGATACCTTCTTAAAGGCTCATGTCCCTAAACCTCAAATATGTAAAGAGCTGTAATTTGTATTCTAACATTTACTAGACCACCAAGAATCTCAGCAGCTCTCAGGGGAATAAAGAAAGGAATGACTGAACCCCAGAGAAGCAGCGGGCTGAGGAGAACAGGCAGCTCTGTGATATGTCAGCAGCTTCTACCCTGCGAGATATCTTGATCTTCTTTATGCATCCGTGGAAGAGATCATCCAGCGACAGGTTAAGATCTCTCTCTATAGGAGAATCTTGAGTCTTCTCAACTCCTGTGTGCAGGAAGTCAAACTCAAGGTGGGACTCTGTAGTGTAAAAGTCTGGGGACAAGATTAATAATAAGAAGCAGCTGGTTTTATTTAAAAAAGGCATACAATGTTTTTTTTTATTCACTTTTCTCACCTGCAAAGGGGTTGTTGTCTCCAAAGAACTGTCTGAAGGTTTTCTCAGGGTTGCCGTGGTAAATATATCTGGAGGACCAAGCTCCTCCACTGGCCAACTCTAAAGGGATGCCATCTCTGAGTCCAACCTCACCAAATTTATCATAGGTTGCTTTTTTTCTAGCTGAAAGGGAATAGACACAACACTAAAAGACTCGTACTAATAATACCCAGGTCAGCAGGTTTTCTTCAGTACATATTAATGAAGTTAAATAACTCTGGATAAATATATATATATGTGAAGTTGTTTGAATTTCTAAATGAAAGTGAAGACTGTAAATTCAGGATGTTTTTGTTTCTTGTCAAATCAAAGATACGAGACATCAAATCTTAATCTGTGAGAAAACAAGTCAGTAAGTCACAGTTTTGCAAAAATACAAATAAATCACAAGTTTGTGAGCATAAATCACTAATTTATCTGAACAAATTACAGATTTATGAATAGGAATCACATATTTAGAAATAAAAATCTACAGCCCCCATTAGAACTGTTACACTCCGTTCCAGCTGGTGCACCTGCATGTTGGTTTAATAATTAATTTTTTTATCTAATACATGATTCAAATGTAAAATATACCATTGGAATATAACAAGCAAAATTAAACAATTTAATGTCTCATCTAATAAGTTAAAATGCATTTGAAATTATGTATTAAAAAAGCTATTATCTAAAACTGAATGTTTTTTTTTATTTAGACTATTGCTTTTCTTTATATTTATACATAAATACAGAGTGAAGAACTAATTTCTATTTTCATGGGGTCTCCAGTTCATTTTATTGGTATTTTTTGAGCCACAGGATGAAATGTTTGGGAACCTCTGGATGATTTGATTGGAATGTATGCAATAAACTGCACTGAATTGACAATATCTGGGGATATAAATTGTATTACATATTAGTTGTGAGTTGGTGACATATAAATAAACCAAATTCAATTAAATCTTACCAAATCAACTTCCACTGAAAAAAATTATAAAAAACATAAATAAGTCACTTTTCCTTGGAAAACATGTATTTTCTCTCAATTTGATCAGATAGGTCAGATAGGAGGATTTTGATTAAAAATAAAAAAATTCAATTTGTTGTTACAAGTGCATAATACCTAATTATCTTATTCTGTTTACATTCCATCACTGCTGCACTTTATGAAAAGGAAATGTTCATTTCACTGCTAAGCTGCTGCTCATTTACTGTGTAAAAGCTGTACTAAAGGAAATTTTGCTTTGTATGTGTATAAAAAAAATGACAATAAAAGTTGTCTAAGTCTCTAAGTCTATTCTAAGGGTAAAAATACTAATTCCATTGGCAGAACATCTCACCAGTTAAATAAAGAGCAAAAACACTTATAAGATAAGATAGCAAAGTATAGAAATGGGGGATGACATTAAACTGGCTAAGAAAATACATTGGAAATATGAAACAATGTGTAGAAATAAATAATCACAAATCAGAATTGCTAAACATAATTTGTGGGGTACCACAGAGGTCCTTGTTGGGTTAGACGTATTTGACATATTCAAATGATCAAACCTGCTAAAATGCAATATATTTGCAGATAATACTGCAGAAAACATCCAAAAACTCACAAAGATGGTCCCAATAGAAATTACAATATTTCAATTGCTTGAAAATTAGTAGATTATCCTTGAAATGAAATAAAACAAAATTGATGATATTTGGAAACCACAATAAATTTAAAACCAGAACATTCAAAACAACAATCGACAGTGTTGATTTAGAATCAATCTACCAGATCAAACCTCTGGGTTTAAATTTAGCCTCAGATCTGGGGGGTGGGGTGTTATTTGTGAATAAATCATCCATAAATATCTGCTTATCTTACAGAATATTCTCATTGTACCATAATTGACTTATAGCGTGGAAGTTTGGGGGAATACATTACAAATAAATGTACAGCCACTGTATGTAATGCAAAAAAAACAACAATAAAAATGCTATATTATGTAGGATTTTTGGGCCACTCGATAAGCCTGGAACTCAACGCTAATCCAGACATTTTTAATTAAAAAAGCTTCCTGGATGGGAAGCGAAACATCTTAAAACTTGGAAAACAAAGTCCAGTGGTTTGTTTTTAACTTTTAACTTTGTTGGAATGACTATGACCTGGATGACTGGGAATCTTCAACAGCAATATAGGATAGAAATGGATACGTTTTTTTTTTATTAAATATGTTACAAATCTGTGACCTTATAAATTTCAAAGTAAGGAACCAGCATCTTCCGAACAACATGATAAAACAGTTTTGTGACAGAGAAGGGAGTTGTTTATGAGGAGAAGGATATTCTTAAAAACAATATAATGTATTTGAATGGATTAAATCATTCTGCTTCATTCTACTGTATCTCTATTTTCCCACTCTGCAGAATCTGTTAGTTAGAGAGAAATATCAGCTGTGCTGCTGCCATCAACACCTTTGTTTATAGATGCTGGAGATCACCCTGTTTTCTAGTGTAGTCCTGTTTCTCTGACTGTGTCTGGCTGGATGTGCTTTCTTCATCCTCTGACATGGGAGTTGGCTCAGAGCTTTTCTGCCTGGCTGTGTGTTTCCTGGATGGGGTCGCCTTTTACAGTTCATTTTTGTATCTCTGCTTCTGTCTCCTTGAACCCCAGTTGGCCTCGGCAGATGGTCGCTCACACTGAGCCTGGTTCTGCTGAAGGTTTCTTCCTGTTTAAAGGGAGCTTTTTTTCTCTCCACTGTCGCTACAAGCATGCATAGTGTGAGGGATTGCATTGAAGTCAATAAGTTGATGCAATCAACTGGTTTTCCTTAGAAATTTTTTTATCAATGACCTGGTTGAATTGTAAAGTGCCTTGAGATGACATGTGTTGTGAATTGGCAATATATAAATAAACTGAATTTAATTGAATTAAATGATGCTGAGATCAAAGAGAGTAAATATGAAACAATTTAAAAGACGTTTCAAAAAACAAAGGATGGGTTTATCAAAGGTCAAAAATATTATGGATGTTATTAATATAATGTGTAGCTAAATATAAAGTAGTTCTTGATATGAAAAGATTATGAGAGATATGGGCAGGAAATTATACAGTAAAATCTTATATCTTCCACCTGGTCCCCTTTGAGCAAATTGTGTAAAAAAAAAAAAGCTTATGACTATTTTTTCATATTTTTTTTTTTTTTTTTTTTTCTTTTTTTTTTTTTTTACTTTTATTGTTATTCGAGATAAATGACTATGAAATGATAAAAGGAATAGCGTCAAACACTTTCCCTGCCTTATTTGAAAACTAAAGGAAAACCGTGTTCCTATCCCAGGTCAGTGGGCCTGAATCCCAGAGCAGAGAGTCGGTGTGAAGGTGAACCAACTCACGGTCACTCAGGACATCATAGGCTTCCCCCAGCTGAAGGAATCTCTCGCTGCTTCCAGCTTCTACATTTCTGCTCGGGTGAAACTTCAGCGCGAGGCGTCGGTATCTGCGTGAATATGATGAAAAGATCGTGACGTGACGTGTCAAACCCACGGAGGGACAGATAAATAAAAAACTTACGCCTTTTTAATCTCCGCGTCTGTTGCGTGTCTGTTTATTTCTAGCGTCTCGTAGTAATCGCAGCTCATGGTGGAGAAAAAACAAATAAAATAAAACCAACCAAAACAGTCCAAAGATAAAATCTGGAGAAACACCAAACAAAACCCGGTGGATAGAAATCAAGCTAACGAGCAGAAACGGCTTAATTGTTGTTGAAATTGGTTTCTATGGTGACGAATGAAGATCTCGCGAGATCTTAAACATGGCGGGTGCAAACACATCTGTCAAAGGGCTCACTTTTTATTACTCCACATTAATAATAATGGATGGAGAGGTTTTAAAATGTGCTTATTACCAGTAGTTCTACTTCTGATTCACGGCGGTTCAATAAATATGGCACAAATAATTTGCCACAATGAAAACTGCTTAATTATAATAATAATAATTAACCAGGAGGTCCTTTCCCCAGATTTGGGAAAACAAAATTCAGTAAATCCCTCGTTACTTAAACAGTGACATGTGGTGCAGTAGATGTAAAATTATCAATGAAGAAAATAATAATAATAAAAAAATATATAGAGCAACCTATAATTTATTAATTATATTATTTAATTGATTGACTCACAGTGGAGAAATGTACCCATTACATCGGCTCAATAGTCAAAAAGAAGATGATCCTGAGGTTTGTCTCAAATGTACAAAAAAAAATTTAACGCATAGTTTTTAAGAGCATTTAGGATTGTAGAAAAATTTGTTAAAATAAATTTTACTTCAAATTATTGTTAAGTTATTGTTAATGTTAATTATTAATCTAATTTAAGTTACTTTTAAGAGTAATTAGAGGGAGAGGGGGTATGAATAAAAAGTTTTACTTCTTCATACCCCTTTTCAGACAATTTCCATTAATCAATGTCATTTATCTGGCTGTATATAACGATAGGTTTATTTGTTGGAGGGTTTTGTTTCCATTTATGTTCGGGTGAATTTAGATAGTTTGGAAATTGGTGTTTGGTTTGCTTGATCGAACTAATCTCTTTTTGTGTGTATTTGGTTTATTTATTTATTTTTGTTTATTCAAAATTGTCTGAAATAAATTCCTTTTCATTCATTGTCCAGTACTAAAATTAGTAAACAAGGCTTTGTCAGTAATTCATTTTATAGAAAAGTCTCCAAAGGTTGGAGCTGTATCCAAATCTGTGGCCTGAATCATAATATGCAGTGTCGTTAGTGCCTTCTTTAGAAAGAGGACTAAACAATAATTAGAATTGAATGAAATACTACTGCATATATTATAGAAGATAAATAATAATAAAAAAAAACTGTGTTAAATAGGGGATGAGGTGTCATTATAGTCGAGAAACCAACTATTCTCTCTGTTTCATACACCCTTTTTAAAAGTCTCACCAAATTAAAGTCGTATTTTGATTCGGATTTTACTTCTTAAACTGATTTCAATGCTGTTAATTAGACACTAAATATAATTTATTTATTCTTTGTTTCATCCTTTTACAGCTATACTTGTAGCTGGTGCTGCTTTCTTCCTTTCAAGGGGAAGTTCAGCAGCATCAAGCAGTACAGGTGCTGGTCATAAAATTAGAATATCATGAAAAAGTAGATTGATTTCAGTAA